TGCTCTTCTACACTATACGATAATAAAATCGTATAAGTCTATATCCAATAAAGATTAATGAACACAAATTCATTGGAAACTGAAAGAAGAAGTAAAATTTGACGAAGGAAACGCGGTTGTGTTCCGTAATCGAACCGAAAAATATTTTTAATGACTCACAGTTGTACCACTCAAAACTGTGGAATTTTATTTAAAACCATTATCTATGGATAAATCTCGTTGATAAACAAACATTTTTCATATAGTAGTTTCTTATTCTGCCCTTATTCAGAGAAACATCTTTACGAGTATGTCAGTTCGAAAGTTTTACATTACCGTTTTTATCCTCGTGATTATTATAGTATTAAGAATGTGGAACATAATATTCATTGTTTATTGTAGAAATTGTATTTAAAAGCTTTTATGACCACGAAGAACACGAGACTATAACATTACACAATTTTAGTGAAAAGTGTAATGTATAAGGTTACTTTCGTTGCATATAATAAATATTTCGTTGTTTATTATCCGTATATAAATAGATAAAGACAAAACATTTAAGTACCAATTTTGGTAATATCTAAAATGAATCAAAATTTTGAAGCGCCAGAGGGTTAAAGTCGAATTTGGATCAATGAGCGAACACTAGAATAAAAATAAAGTTAATATATTGCTTATATATTTTTCTCTGCATGTTTGGCATTCTCTGTTGGCTACGTTAGTAATTATTAAATCATTTGATAACAGCCATCTCGTGAAAACACCGATGTGACAAGTACATAATTTGATTTTCTGAAGAAAAATATGCGGAACTACAATTCTTTTAATGTAAGCTTCATACCGCTGAATCTCGAACAGCGTCTGGGAAGTCTTTAAACACGGAATAACCGAGTGGTCCGTCCCTAAGTCCTGATGGTCTATTTACGTCATCGGCGGCGCATCGTCGCCATGAGCGCGTGATGCTAATTATGTGAGCATCCGGCGATTTAGGCGCCACGAACCTTGGCCGAAACCCAGCCCTTCGGAACAGGATGTCTTTTACAGTTCAATTGTTATCAATACATAATTGTAGGTATTCTGAAGCAAACCAATTCGAAAATCTTGACCAATTTTTTTTTAATTTTTAATTAATCGATGTATGATGAACTTCGCATCAATTAAGTAAGGACGATAAATATTTTATTCGATAATATTTTCAAATAAAGAAAAATGCTAATTTTGAAAGAATAGTCAAATAACAGAATTTATGCAAAAAAAAACAAACGAATTAGAATGATTTCCTAAACCAACTAAGCATCGATCTTCGGTATTAAATGAAGACAAACACTTTTTTTAAATGGGCCATTATTTAAGTTTAATCTCGTGGATTTTCAAAAGGACACGCAACCACGTTGGCCATAATGACAGATTGGTTCGGGGATCTCGTTTGAAATTCAAAATTTAAAATTAATTTGATATCGCCTTACTCCTGTCCGCTTCGTTTTGAATATTCTTATAACAAAAGATGTTTGTATCACAACGAAATAACGTAACACAAATATGAAACGTGAGAATTTTAATTTTGAATGTACGTATTTAATACAACGAAATAACTTTACAGTTACGTTCAAAAACAAAAAGGAACTCCGTAAAATGATCATAAGGCATTCCACGATCAAAGCATTTTTCGATACAAAGAAATCTAAAATTGTTTTATTTCACTTTTTACTTGTTAGCAAATTTTGTTACACACACGGATAGGTAAAGTACAACGTAAAAAAAAAAACAGATATTCTACGCGAGCGATCCAGCATGTTTCGTAAAGAATATTATTAGACTTTTGACTCATTAAGAATTTTAGTACAAAACGAAATAAACATTATTCGGTCCAACAGACGCCAAGGTTGTTTAGATCATAAGGAATCTGTATAAAGCAGTAGTAATACGCAAGCTATAATGTGGCGATTTTGTTTTTTTAAAATACACTAATGATAATACTGCGAGACAATTTATTCGATATTGACATCTCAGACTTTAGAAATAGAACATGAAATCTAGGTTAGGATGCAAGCTATCATTTTTTATTGCTTAGATGGGTGGACATGGTATTATATGGTTAACGGAGCCCATAGTAATCAACAATGTAAATGTCGAGACACCCCGAGACAATGTCCAGCGAAAAAAAAATCCTTTTTTTATCTGATTTTATTTATTTATTTGTAGTCTTTCATCGAATTGTTATCTTTCAATTTGGTATCAAAACTAAGAAACGTGAATTGAACTCTACATGAGAACATTTATCGGAGTATCAACAAAGGCTACACAATCTAAAACTCGTTAACGTGTTTATCATTAAATATTCATGTTAGTAAAGCTAGTATAATTTTCGTAGCCCAGAGAAAATTCAATTTTTTTATTTATTGCTTTGATGGGTGTGGAGGATCTCACAGCCCACCTGGTGTTAAGTGTTTACCGGAGCCCACATACATCTACAACGTAAATGCCGCCACCCACCTTGAGATATGAATTCTAAGGTCTCAGTATATTTATAACGGCTGCCCTATCCTTTAAACCGAAACGCATTACTGCTTCACGGCAGAAATAGGCAGAGTGGTGGTACCTATCCGTGCGGACTCACAAGAAGTCCTACCACCAGTAATTACGCATATTATTATTTTGCGGGTTTGATTTTTATTACACGAGGTAATTCCTTCACCGTAAAAGTCAATCGTGAACATTTGTACGTATTTCATTAGAAAAATTGGTACCTGTCTGCGGAATTCGAACACTGTTGCATGGCTAGATACGAATGCACCGGACGTCTTATCCTTTAGGCCACGACTTGCTATCGTCTCTTAGACAAGGATAGTTTCTAGAAGAAACCCAAATATATAACAAACATTCCAGTTGTCATTTTATAGTCTTAAATCTTTTCTGTACCTAAATGAAGATAATTTCGTTTTCAGTCTTGACCAAGCTTGAAGCGGAGTCACGCTACGATATTTTGTTTGTAATTATAACATAACACATGTTTCGTATTCCATTCGAACATGCTGTCATGAGTCAGGAAACAATACAAAACAAAATTCAAAACTGGGCTTATCGTAAAAACGTGCTCATCACTATGATCCTTTAATGTTGAAATTTTACATGTACCTACCAACGTACAGAGATAACTTGACTAACTCAAAGTCAAGCGTTTTAAAACCGTAACACAAATCTTCGCACCAACTTTGAATAGAAAAAGTAAACAAAGACTCGTTTCAAAGAATTGACCCAGAAAGCGACAACGAGTGCAAATTAAAAAATGCCCAGAGAGAAAACAGGCGTAGTGAATGTAAAAAAGAAACCGAGGAAATTGAAAACTGCAGTTATTATACGGACAGGAAACTGGCAGTCGACAAGAAAGCGGTTTCGCTCAAACTGGCCAAATGAGTAGCCGCAGGAATAAGGATCAATGTTCTATGGCAATTAAATGGAGCGATTGCGGGAATAATTTCTCTGGGGGAATTCCAAACGTTTAAAACGGAATCGTGACGAGAGTACCAAGACTTTTGTACGCGAAACAGTAAGACGAGTATATAAATCTTAAACAAGGCGGCTTGTTCAATAACAACTTGAATGTTTGGTCACGCGCCGTGCTCTATAGGAACAAAACAATCCATAGCCGTCCATAAGTTTATTAATCGATCGAAAGAGAAACCGTAAAGTTCATTAGCATACGGTTACATGTTCGCACAATATGAAATCGAAATGGGCCATGTTATTATCCATAACAGGCATTAAATGAAAACAGGAAAAGCAATTGCACGGTCGAAAGATCGATCAATTTTGGCCGAACGCTGGCGAATCGTATGAAAGTTCGAATTGTGAAATTGTTTTTATAAAAAAATAAATTAAGATCTAGTGCTGTACATTTATTCTGAAAGGTATAAATAAAATAATGAACAACATTCCAAGAAAGCGCGAAGTTGCGAGGAGTGCCAAAATGTCATCGTGTCGACGAAAACGTGTCGAGATATTTCAGATAAATCTAATTTCTAAGAATTTTAAGGTAAATGACATTTTAGAATTATTTTTTATAATAAACTGGCTTATACACTCAAATTCGATTGCTTTAATGTAAAAAAATGTAGGTATATTCGTCGAAACTAGTATTTTTTTATGGATGAGGAATAAACTGGTGGTAGGACTTCTTGTGAGTCCGCACGGGTAGGTACCACCGCCCCGCCTATTTCTGCCGTGAAGCAGTAATGCGTTTCAGTTTGAATGGTGGGGTAGCCGTTGTAACTTTACTGAGACCTTAGAACTTATATCTCAAGGTGGATGGCGTATTTACATTGTAAATGTCTATGGGCTCCAGTAACCACTTAACACCAGGTGGGTTGTGAGCTCGTCCACACACCTAAGCAATAAAAGAAGAAGAAAAAAAAAACTTACGCCATATCTTTTCTGTACAACTGCAAACGTGTATGCACAATTTCATGATAAGCGGAGTAGGTAAGATTCGATAGCGTAGTTAACAAACAAATAAATAATCTAACTTCCGTGTTTATAACATTAGTATTCGTTAGGCAAAAAATTAAAGGGATCAACGATAATAACAACATTATGTGAATTTTCTTCATGGATTAGGCACGATCTTTGTAAATGTAACAACCTTTGACCGAAACGAGTTTGGCTGTTTGATGACGCAAGTTTTTATTTCATTTCAGCCAATAAGCCTAATATAGATGATGACTCTATGTCTCTACCCAAATACTTAAATATTATCGTCAACAATCAGAATAGAACTAAATAGTTTATAGGTATTATAAACAATGTAATCAGTGAGAAAAATTGATAAACGACGTAATATCAAGGTCAAGTTGTCTTAATGATGTAATCACAATCAAGATTCTTTCGTGTGAAGTTAATGTTTATTACAGGTTTAATGCTTTGTGAACCTCAACAAACTAATTAACCTTTGGAACGAGATGACATCATGATATCGACTAGGGTAACTACTGATAAAATTTCACATTAAGCAATAAGTAACTTACCTTTTTTGGATTGCTTCTCGCGTTCCTTTTCCTTTTCTCTCGCCTTTTTCTCTTTCTTTTCCCTTTCTTGTTTTTCTTTTTCTAATCGTTTCATTTCTTTTTTCATCTCCTTTTCACTTTTCTTCGTCTTGGTGTCGTCGATTTTTTCAGACAAAATAAAAGCTCCCGTTTGGACTTTCGTCTCTATTTCTTCCTTCGGCCTCATCACGGTGCACTCTTCACTATCAAATCACACAGGGATATTGTAAATTAATCAACAGAATCCCCTGTAAATTCACTCGCGTTGGATTTATCTCAGCGTTAAGAATTACGATTCGGCACAGATCGGCGGCGACGGCCGACCGATGTTTATCGCGCACGTACGTACGTCCTGACGTTCGCTATTGGCGAAACGATATCGAAAATTATCACTGGCACTCTTCAATTATTTCAAAACCACAGAGCGCGATGATACTAGGATCGATAGCAGCTCGTCGATACTAGGCAGCGGTATCGCACGTAGCACTAACCGCGACTATGTCTCGAGAGGCACTGTGCTCGGCCTACGCTCAGCCCGTACGCCGCCAGAACTCTTTAAGTCCCGACACCGACAGAGAGCGCCACGCTCGCCGCTACAACGTGCGCTCGCGACGTTTATTGTTTGTACTCAAAGTCTATAAATAAGCTCTGCTTCCTTACTGTGACAACTCAGGAGATGACTTATGGTCATTGAACCCGTGACGAGCTTTTCGCAATAGATAACAAAGATATGATGGGTAAACAAATTGAGATCACAACTGGCCGATGCGATGCCTTTAAAGATCTAAAGAAACAAGAAATTCAAGTCGATAAACAAAGTTAGATATAATTTTAAGAAATTCTTGGTAATTTTAAGAAGTTTTTGGTAGGCAGCGGCCTGGCTCTGCCCCTGGCATTGCGGAGTTCCATGGGCGACGGTAACCACTCACCATCAGATGGGCCATATACTTGTCTGCCTACAAGGGCAATAAAAAAAATTTAAAAAAGTTCACAATTTTTACTGAGGTTAAAAAAATAAGAAAACGCCTTGAAGCTGGAAGTAAAAACGACACTTTCATATATTGAATGATTCGTATGATCTGAAGATTTTTAAAGCAACAATAAATAAAAAAAGCAATCTCTTAAATTAACTTAATGCGCCTGAGCTTACAAGTCATGACCAAAGAGGGTATTGTCGAGGCGGCGACAATGAAAAGCCGCTTTCGAAAGCTCGCTTCCAGATGGTTCAAAAAACGAGAACGGATAAAACGCGTCTCTACGCAACAACAACAAAAAACTATAAATAAAACATAATAAAAGTAAAACAAGGTCGCTATAAGAAACGTTCCATTGTTTACGATAAATCGTGTAATAAAAATCAAACCCGCAAAATTATAATTTGCGTAATCACTGGTGGTAGGACTTCTTAGGAGTCCGCACGGGTAGGTACCACCACCCCGCCTATTTCCGCCGTGAAGCAGTAATGCGTTTCGGTTCCAAGGGTGGGGTAGCCGTTGTAACTATACTGAGACCTTAGAACTTATATCTCAAGGCGCATTTACGTTGTAGATGTCTATGGGCTCCAGTAACCACTTAACACCAGGTGGGCTGTGAGCTCGTCCACACATGAGTCGACTATTATCAAAGCCGGCAATCTGACTTTTGGACAATGATTGGTAAATCAGAAAAACGAATTATTGGCTTTGTATTCCATTGGCAGTCACAAAACTCTTCGGAACGACATCTTAGATAAATAACAGGTTAACTATTAACCTTTATTTAATGCAGGTTTTGAACCGTATTCTTTGAAGGAGACGATTATATTCAAATCAATTTGTATTGACATATCAATAATTTTTTTTTGTCCAAATGCACAGATTGCCTCCTTTGATGATAGACGACTCACATCTAAGCAATAAAAAAAAAATATCAATTCTGCTTCCTATTAAAAGTTTATACGTATTGGTTAGCTCTCCTAGCTTATAATAACTAGCTTCTACAAACTGTCTTAGTAAAAACATTTAATTAAATAGCGCACAAATTGCAACGACCGCAATAGGTCCATTTATATATGTGATGGTTTCCTGTAGTTTAACAATGTTGTGAAACATTTGCGCCGAGAATACAACAGAATAAGTACTTCCGCAAATCGAACACAAAGCTCCTTAGTATTGCGCAATAACTAAAATCAGCGTTCGCGAAGTTAAAGCTCCTGAAATGTCGTTCAATAATAATCGGGAGCAGTTTATTACTTTTAAGTAACAGCAAAACAGAAGTGCTGACACTAGAAAAATATCTTCTTTCGCGAATGCGCTAATTTTTTTATTTTATTGCTTAGATGGATGGACGAGCTCACAGCCCACCTGGTGTTAAGTGGTTACTGGAGCCCATAGACATCTACAACGTAAATGCGCCACCCACCTAGAGATTTAAGTTCTAAGATCTTAGTATACTTACAACGGCTGCCCTACCCTTCAGACCGAATCGCATTACTGCTGCACGGCAGAAATAGGCAGGGCGGTGATACCTACCCGCACGGACTCACAAGAGGTCCTACCACCAGTAAAATAGGACGTTATAATTTAAAAAATTAAGTACCTGAGACCTCATAGATCAGCGTGGACAGAAACGACTATTGCGTCAATATGATACCGTTCCTCAAGGTTTTTAATTTTAATTTTATTTGAGCACGAAACACTTACTTACCCGATCTCATAGATATGAAATTAATCTAAATTAAATCAAAATTAATACCATTTAAGTATCAAATAGACCAAAAAAAATATCTAATGAATATAAGTAATTATGAAAACCCAAATAATAATGAAATTATGGTCATTATCGTAGCCTAATTAATTGTGGTTTGGATGCGAAGTGCTACCACCCAGTTGTATAATATAACTGTTCACACCCTTTAAGCTGGAAAGCATTATTACATTACCGCCTTAAGAGGCAAGGTGGTACTTCACTGTGAAAGCTCATAAGATCACCAGAAAGTAGGTGAAACGTGACCGACAATGCCTCATCTTCCGGCTGGTACTGACCTAGAACGCTTGACCCAATGGTACCCCGACCGAGAGACTAGATGGCAGTGGCAGAGACAACCGCCTTTTCGGCGTCCAGTGGACACAGAGTGGGGCGAGACATGTGGCTCACTCCGTAACGCGTTATCTTCTCGCCACCTTACCACGTTGAGTTCTGTGTTATCAGAAACACGGACGCGGGCTGTTAACTAACAGGGAGTTTTAGTCGATTCAACTCCGATGTGCCCCGCTTACCGCCTCCAAGTCCAGAGATTCCCTCTTAACCCAACATTCAATAAATAGTATGCTGCTATTAGATCTCCGTAGCATCGGACATTTATTGAACTTTCGCACTTATAAATATCATCATAAAACCACATTTAAATAATTAAATTTGATTATTATCTGTTCGCAAAAGGGCGTTTTATTGCAAGCCTCCATCACCTTTCGCGATAAATTCCTGATAATGAATGCACTGTACAACACTGAATGCATGCTTAATTACGTGGCTTAATCCGTATTACTGAAGGCCAGTTTTAGTGCAAATATCTTCGAGATAGGCGTATAAATTTGTGCACTATAACGCAGCACCTTAATTATGATCTAGATTGTTTAGACCAGTGGTTCCCAAACTTATTTTGTCTACTGCCCACTATCAGAATAAATAATTTTTTAGCGCCCCCAATTTTTTCTACCTACACAAAAACCACTATAGCGAGAGCTCAGTCGTGTCTAAGAGTCCTCCTAGATTAAATTAAAAATCGCCTTCCAAGGCTCTACACAACGCCCCCATTTTTTTCTGGGTCTCTTACCGCCCCCCATTAGGCCTACAGCGCCCACAAGGGGGCGTTATCGCCCACTTTGGGAAAGACTGGTTTAGACCAACTTGCTTTGGTGAAATTCGTTAGAGTACCCATCAGAGTAAAAGATGATTTGAGAGCAAATTTTTTTAATACAATTTTAATAATACTAGTCCTTTGAATTTTGTCTATATGTAGGCTTTCACTAGAATTATTATTATTATGATTATTTTGTCCTTGTAAGCAGACGAGCATACGGCCCACCAGATGGTGAGTGGTTTTTATTTATTTATTTTTTATTGCTTTGATGGGTGGACGAGCTCACAGCCCACCTGGTGTTAAATGGTTACTGGAGCCCATAAACATCTACAACGTAAAAGCGCCACCCACCTTGAGATATAAGTTCTAAGGTCTCAAGTATAGTTACAACGGCTGCCCCACTTATCAAACCAAAACGCATTACTGCTTCACGGCAGAAATAGGCAGGGTGGTGGTACCTACCCGCGCGGACTCATAAGAGGTCCTACCACCAGTAAAGGTTACCATCGCTCATGGACGTCAGCAGTGCCAGGGGCAGAGCCAAGCCGCTGCCTACCGTTAAGTACTCTCCACAAGCCTCGTTTGCAAAAGGACGTGTCATAGCGCTCGGGAAATACCGAAAATTATATACGAAAGAAACAACACTGAATAATAAGAAATAAAGTAGACGTAACGACATATTCAGAAATACTTTAGGGATATAAAATTTAAAGGTTGTGTGTGAATCGGTCACCTATAATGTTACATTTTTTATCTCATCTTTAACTTTTAAATAAATTTCAATATTAAAATAGTTTTCTTAAGGTACGTCAAAGTCAAATTAATAAAAAAAACACGTCAATAATGAAGTTTTTCCGCATTTTTATGCATTCGTTTTGATAGTAGATAGGATACGCTGATGTTAAGCGATTATTAGAGCCTTTGAACACGACTAGAAAATAATCTCAATGAATACAGCAGTAAACTCCCAAACACGCTCAGCAGGTACCACTACTCATGATACAAACTTCTGCCGAGAAGCAGTAACGCGTTTCGGTTTGATGGGCGGGGCAGCCGGTGGGCTGTTAAAAGTGAAACCCTACAATTCATGTCTCGAGGTGGGTGGCGGCATTTACTTTGTTAAATAATCATGACACGAAAGGTAAGATCGTGTGAACAGATTATCTGTAAATAAGTAAGTCGTGACATCTCTACCACGATCTACCTTTTAGGTTATTATAATACAAGTTTATAATAAAAGTTTTTACAATAATATCGGTCGGGAATTACATTTAAATTTTCCATGGTGATAAACGCACAAATCTATCGAATCTAAACGACACGGAAATCTAATCTGACTATGACACCAAGCATTATAATCATTTCTCATCACAGACCAGGTCTCATCACAATCAGGTCTCATGACAGACCTAAATCGGATACAATAATACAATATTTCGGAAAACTTACACAGACTCACAAGAATTATAAAAAAAATATAAATTGTTAACAGCAATACTAATTAGACATATGAAACCTCAAGCCAGAAGTCTGAAATCTTGGTCTGACCACGTGCAACAAGTCTCTTAAGCGCCCTATAATGCGCTAATTTTTTTTTGACGTTTGACCTTCTAGCAAGATTTCAGAGTGCACAACACCGCGATACTCAAAGAAAATAGTCAACACGACTAAGTTTTGATTTGATAAATAACGGATGCA